AAAAAGGGGGGGGGGGGGACGCCTGAACCCCACTCCGTCTGCTCCCTCACAGGAACGTGGCCTCGACCTCGCGACGGCATCGACCTCGCCACGGTCTCGACCTCGCCACGGCCTCGCGAGAGCCAACCCCCCCGGGACACCTCGGGAGTGCCCGGCGAAACCCCCACCACGGGAGAGGAGGGAGCCACGTCCCGCGATGGCTGCCCAGGAGGAGATTGACCCCCCTTCTCCCCTCGAGGCGACGGAAGAGCGTCGCCCTCAGGGAAGTCGAAATGGCGGAACCCATCTTCCCAGGGGAGGGAGGAGGTCAAATGGGAATAGAGAACTCGCCCCCTACCGTAACTGAGGCTTGGAGAAGGCGATAGAACAGCCCGCCAATGGCAACTAGTCTCCTCCAGGCCAATCTGCGCCATGCCGGCGTCGCGCAGGACTTATTCCTGCACGCCCTTGCCGAGCGCGGCGCCGGACTGGGGGTAGCCGCTGAGCCTTACCGGATCACGGAAGACGACCCTCGCTGGTTTAGTATTCCGGGAGGCTCGGCGGCAGTTTACTGGAGGAGCTACCAGGAATCTCCCCGGCCGAATTTTATTACGGCGGGGGAGTTTCTGTTGGCGGTGAATTGGGGGGCCCTGTGTGTTGTCTCCCTTTATGCCCCCCCTCGTTAAAAAAGAGCCGACTACGAGGAATATTTGGACCGGGTGGCAAAGGTAGTCAGGGGATGTGCCCCCCGCCCGGTCATCGTGGCTGAGGACTTCAACGCCAAATCAACGGCGTGGAGTCCCCGGTCACGAACGTTCGTGGTCGGCTCACAGAAGAATAGGCGGCGGCATTGGGTCGTCACCTATTAAAAGAGGGCTCAGTGAGCACCTGCGTGCATCCGCAGGGCGAATCGATAGTCGACCTCACCTGGATCAGCGGCCCTGCGGCGCACGTGATAGGCGGTTGGAGGTTGGTGGAGGGCATTGATACAGGTTCAGACCACCTGTATATCAAGGTGGTCTTATCCACCACCCCGCCCGAGATGCTCAGCCGCCGCCGCGAGGGGGGGCGGGAGCGACGGGGAAGATGGGCCCTCCAAAAGTTGAGGGATGACGACCTCAGGGCGTCCGTTGCGGCCACGGAGTGGGCCAGGGGGGAAACCCTTCCCCCCTGGAGACTTCGGCCGCAATCAAGGTAGAGGCGGGACGGGCTCGTGGCCGATATGGAACGCGCGTACGACACATCCATGCTCCGGGCCCGCCCATTGCCCTTAAATACTAGTGGACTGAAGTGATCGCCAAGAAAAGGCGCCTCTCCGTCCAAGCCAGGAGGAGGACGCAGCGGACCAAGAGGGGGCCTTACGCCGTGGAAACGGCGAGGGCCTGCAGGGCCTTCCGAACCGCACGGAAGGCCCTGCGCACAGAGATTAAGAAGGCCAAGGCCGGGGCCTGGGGAAAGCTCCTAAAGACTCTGGACGGAAATCCGTGGGACGCCCCTACCGAATCGTCCTCAGAAGACTGAGACCATGGGCGCCCCTGGTAATGGAGAGCCTTGACCTCCCGGCTCTCGACAACGTAGTCGGAACCTTGTTCCCGGAGGAGGGGGTGCCACCCCTCCCATACGAGCCCCCCCTCCCCCCGGATTGGGACGAGGACCGGGGGGTATCCAGGGTCTAGCTAGCGGAGGCTGCCAGAAGGCTTGGGGGAGCGTCCGAAGCCCCCGGGCCGGACGGAGTCCCAGGCCGTGTGTGGGCCCTGGCCATGGCCAACATGGAGGGCCGACTGAAGCACCAGTTTACAGGGTGCCTCAGAGTCGGCGTCTTTCCCAGCCGGTGGAAAAGGGCGGGACTGGTCCTCATCCCTAAAGAGGGCCGTCCCCCTGGTTCCCTTTCCGCATACAGGCCGATATACCTGTTGGACGAGGTGGGAAAATTATTCGAGAGAATAATAGCAACCCGCCTCGTCCGGCACCTCTCCCGAGAAGGCCCGGACCTTAGCGACAGGCAATACGGCTTCATCGCGGGTCGCTCCACAGTGGACGCCATTCTTCACGTGAGGGCCTTCGCGGATGCCGAGATGGAAAAGGGGATGGTAGTTGCAGCGGTTTCGTTTGACATAACAAACGCATTTAACTCCCTTCCCGGCGACCGGGTAGAGGCGGCGATGCGCTACCATCGCCTCCCGCGCTACCTGGTCCACATTGTCCGGGCCTACTTCCGAGAGAAAAGGTTGGAGTTCGTCGACAAGGACGGACTCCAACGCGGAAGGGGAATGTGGTGCGGGATTCCCCAGGGGTCAGTTTTAGGACCCCTGCTTTGAGCATGACCGAGTTGTTAGGACGGTCCTTCCCCTGGGCAGCGCCCTTGTCTGCTACGCGGGCGATACATTGGTGCTGTCCGGGGGCACCGGCTGGGAGGAGTCAGTGGCCCTGGCAAACAGGGCGGTGGAGTGCGCCGTGCGCTCTATTCGTGCGTTGGGCTTGAGGGTGGCCACCCACAAGACCGAAGCGATGTTTATTCACGCCAGATCCAGGGGATCCCCCTTCAAGCACAAATAAGGGTGGAATCGGCACGCGTGGAAATGAGGCCTGGGATCAAATACCTGGGCCTCACCTTGGATAGAACCTGGAGCTTCGTCGAGCATTTTGAACGACTGAGCCCCTGACTGGGCAGGGTGGCAGGCGCGCTTGCCTGCCTCTTGCCCAATCTCGGTGGTCCTAAATCCCTAGCGAGGCGGCTGTATGCGAATACGGTCCATTCTATGGCCCTTTATGGGGCTCTGGTGTGGGTGGGTGAAATGGGGGCCAACCGGCGCATCAGGGCGGCTGGTAAATGGCGCCCAAAAAGTAATGGTCAACCGTCTCACCGGCGCTTACAGGACCGTCTCGCATGCGGCCGTCACGGCCCTGGCCGGCATGCTCCCGGCGGAGCTCCTAGCCAGGGTGTACGCTAACACGTATACTCGTATCAGGGAGCTCCGTCAAGACAGGTTGACGATAACGGCCGGGACCGTAGAGAAGATCCGAAGGCTGGCCCGGATGGAAGGAGCAGTTAGGAGGCCCCAACCTGCCGGGCCAGAGGACTATCGAGGCCATCCGCCCCTGTTTACTTGAATGGGTGAGCAGGGACTACTTCGGGCTGTCCTATCACGCGACACAGGTGCTCACCGGGCACGGCTGCTTCGGTGAGTACTGGTGTCGCATTGGAAAGGAGCGCACGGCGCAGTGCCACAACTGTGCGGCCAGTCGGATCACCACGCAGCACATGTTGGCACACTGTCCGGCATAGGCAGTGGAGCGCGATGTCCTGGCTGCAGTGGTGGGGGAGGATATGTCGCTCCCCGCCGTGGTAAAAGCCATGGTGGGGAGCGAGAGAGCCTGGGAGGCAATTCTCTCCTTCTGCTCTTCAGACATGGGGCGGAAAGGTGAGTGGCTTCGCCAACTTTTCAGGGCTCCGCAGATGGTGAGGGGGGGGGGGGGGCCGACTAAAAGCGCCTCCTCCTGGGTGGCTGGGAGGGTACAGCCACCGGCTTCTCCCGGCCTGTAAATGGAGCTGGGTTAGTTGGGGGGATGTTCCTGGTCTTATACTGGTAGGCCCTCTGTGTCATGTTAGGCGGTCAGGAACAGAGTAGGGGGTTGTGGGGTGTGAGGGCAATTTACTGCCATAGGGTCGCAGAGATAATTAGAAAAATAGGAGGTGCATATTTTTGAACATATAGGGGGAGGACCCACACGCGGGCCAGCGATATCCTCGGAGATAGGATAACCCGGGTGTACAGTGGTGATCGATGATCGGCAACTAGGGGTGCGCCGGTGATCCTCGAGAGTAGTTGGGCAAGGTATGTTCCAAAACAGGGGGAGCCGGGCGGGGTGCGGGGAGCGGGGAATAACTGAATCCTCCCCGCTCCCTGCACCCCGCCTGGCGCCCGGGTTCAGTGTCGCTCCGTGACACAAACGCGCGCATCGTATCCGTGACTGAGGAGAAGGTGACGGTAAGCCAATGGTTTATCCGCGGGATGCGGATGACGCCGCTCGCGATATCTCGACAATGATATATTTCATATCCGCGGGATATGCGATATGTGAAAAAAAAAATACGTCTTTGTTAGGAACAGTGCGTATTAAATAAAAAGGAAATTGTTTTTCCGCAGGATGGATGGTTTCGTGTATATAACGATTGATGTGTTTTTTTGCGGGAAAAATGTTTCCTGTTTGCGAGAGAGAGAGAGAGAGAGAGAGAGAGAGAGAATAGATAATCTGTTTCTGTTTTCCGGTAAAGGGGGTATATATATTCCTTATTTTTCTGCCGGAGTGAATAGAAGTATTGCAAGTATCGTTTCGGATTGACGTATATAATATTTTGTTGTTTTTTTCTCCACGGAGTGTGGACTGAGGGAGTGGTGATACTAAATCAAGAGAGAGAGAGAACGATGGAGATTAGCGAGTCGATCGAATTGTCGCGTAACAAATATATAAAGAAGAGTATTGATACGCAGCGATCCGTCGTTACTCAGGAACAGCAGCAACGAGCCAATGTTGAGAGAGCATTGCGATCGATCGAGTTTGATGATGATGATGATAATGATGATGATGACAATGTAAAGGAAAATCATACAAAAGAAAGAAAGAGAAAGAAGCAGTGGAAGGATGAGGTAATAGTGACGATCGATGATGATAATGAAGATTGTGATAAAAATAACGAAGAGTTGCTGGAAGAAGAGGAGGAGGAGGAGGAGAGAGTAATGTCGTTTCCTTTCACTCCTCTCGATTTGTTATGCTAATTATGGTCGCCGGAAATCACACCGTTGCCTAATATTCGATTGATGACGGTCGCCGTGTGCAGCAGACAGTCGAAAATTAACGCTGTTCAAGACATTGTGAATGCAGATCAATGCAGAAACGAAGCGGCCGCTTCGTGTGACGTGTTGGTTGACCTGCACTAATTGTGGCTGTCCAGCGGATCTTCACGTAGCGCTCCTTGTAGCGTCGATGACATGATTAAGGTTATACGTGAGAATATGCCACGAAAATTGTATTTGGCTTCTTACGTTAACGGGATTCTCTCGGAGGAGAGCTTCTACGATTGGATTCATTATTACGAGGAGTATGTGTCGAATCTAATGAAGACCGCTTCTGCTAATCGAGTCGCGTCTGTCGATGATAATGCTGGTACGAAGGTGCCGAAGATAACGGATAAGAGAGTTGTCGAGAAAAAAAAGCGGGAAGCAATGGAGATCGTTAATGGGGGAGGAGGAGGAGGAGGAATGGTGGATTAAACGCATTGTTTGACGATTGTCGCGAGATCACGCGCGATTGTGTGCAACAATATATCGCGAAGGTGAAGAATCGATGCGTGCTCATGGTGAAATCACCGAGCGAGAGGGGCACCGAGCTCGTTCGTCTTAAAATTTACGATGCCAAAGATATTTTAGGACGGAAGCCTCGCATTTGGTGGAAGTATGCGAAAATAAGAACTCAATTTCTAAGTTCGAGCAGCGAACGTAAGAAATTGCTCATGAGGCGTTTGATGAATCAGATAGCCGATGAATTGAAAGCGATACCCGGAGTCGTTCAAGAGAATCAACAACAGTTTCAATTTCTCGATAATTGAGAGCTACGTATAACAAGAAAAAAATATTAATAATGAAAAATATTAATAATGAATAAAAAAGATTATATATGTGTGCGATATTTATTTTTTTAGGATGGAGTCTTGCACTTTGTGGAAATATGTGAAAAAAAGGATTCAATCATTTTTTGTTTGAGCATCAAAATGTAAGAAAAAAAATTGCTCCTGAGGCGTGATGATGATGAATCAAAAGCGTTGTCGGGGTTTTTCGAGAGAGAGAGAATCAACAGGTTTTATTTCTTGATAATTGAGAGAGAAAAAAGGGGAGAATAATCTATATTGTATGTGTATAAAAGATTAAATAAAAAAAAAAAGACAGAGAGAGAAAAATATGTGTACATTTTTTTGCGGAATTCCCGATTCGATGAAAAACCTTTGTTTATAAATAATCTGTGATTCATAGTAGAGGATAAAAAGAAAACAGTTATATGGTTAAATAAAAAATTTTTAATATTTATTTTCTTATTTGTTGAAAATCAAAGTGACAAGTTGGCAATCGATTATATTGTTTCGATCGAACGAATCGCTATTTATTATTGCTTTAGTGATATTCGCATTATCGGGTATTGTGCGCGCGATGTCGCGAAATTGTCGTAATTTCGCGTCGATGTTATTAGTAATTGCACATAGTGAGTTGGTGATGCAGTTTATACAATATTTGAGTTTGTATATATTGATAACGGTGGCCTGCGACACGGACAGGAGATGAGTCGTGGACGTGGACGTTTCCAGTGTCAGTATCGGTAGATTATTGATTTTTCCGAAGCGTAGCGTTAGATTTTCCATTTGAATATCATTCGGGAAATCTCCTCCTCCTCCTCTCACATTGTTGCCACTGCGTCGTAGATTCGACATCACGTTTGATTCTTGCTCGAGGAAGTTTTTCCACACGATCGTTGAGAGTGGGATTTCCTTGCCGTAATTGTCGCCTATAACGACGTTTACGCGGGATGGAAGTATCGCCGTGATTCCTATTTCGATGAATTTGTAACACGTTTTCGTCAGTAGATATTTTCTCGTTAAGATTCGTACGGGAATGTTGACGCTTTCAACGTTTCTAGTGAACAAAATGGTGGTAGTAGTGCAAAAGTGTTTTTTTAAATAAACGATAATAATAAAACTTTCTCCTTCCATTTGTTGTTGTTATTTTTTTTGTTACGTGCCTGACCACCCCGTTGTTATTTATAACGGGTTCTTCCGTTGAAACGTCATCGTCGTCATGTGATTTTCGTTTTCTCGTGTCGGTTATCTCATCGTTGGACTGGCGGTTGTTGGTAGAGGGGGAACGTTCGTTGTTGATTAACGCGTACATTACGATGCGCGATCTTTCTCTCTTTTTCGCGGTTAAGACGGCAATGAAGGGAAGAAAAAAATTACGCGGAGTTATTGGAGAATCGTGATCGTTCGTTGTATTCTTCTCTTTTTTTTTTACCTCATCTCTCTCTTTCTTTCTCACATTATTGTTTCTCCCTTGCCTCTTCTTCTTTTCCTCTCGTTGCGAAGGAGTCGATTTGGATCAATCGACCGAGCAGGTCTCTTAATTGTTTTATCAAATTGTCTCGCGGACAAGCGACACCTACGATATGCAGGTCAAACTTACCGGTAGCCGTGACGAGTTTGACAAAATCGTTAAATTTGTAATAGAAATGATTTTTAACGAAGTATAAATTTCCGTCAGTATATCGAAATGTGGTCGTCATTCCGGTTGGTATTTCTGGAAATATCTTGTCGATTGAACGATGACTCATGATTCGTGTTGAACAATTGTCTATTTCCCCGACTATGTGATCATTGTAAACAATGAANTTATTTCCCCGACTATGTGATCATTGTACACAATGAAACTCCATCTTTTGTTAGTGTTTATTGCGGTATTAATTCTGGCTGTAGGTGGAAGACAGAAATCGTTGAACGAAAGTTTCTGAATCAATTCGTAACTAGGATATGACACTACGTATATGAAATTATCTGCAAATATTATCAAGTTGCCCGTAGGTTTCTGATATGCAACCGTTAAGTGTGTGAAATTGTCAGGAAGAAATTGCATGTAATCTGATATTACGATCGGTTTTTCATAGGTATTTTCGTTGATATTAATCGACCATATGTATTTTTCATATGCAATATGAAATAATATTAATCATAAACAATAGTTGATTGTTTATGATTAATATTACATCAAGATCTCGCAGGGCACACGGATCGTGATTGATATATTTTGTTGCTGTTGTTGTTGTTTTTGTTGCAACAGTTGTAGTGGTGGGCGGTTGTAGTTGTAGAACCGTGGTAATTAGTACCGTATAGATATCGAATATGAAGAATATCATCTAAGCTCAATTTAATGGGAAACTTTATTTCACCGGGCGCCATCGCAAACATAATCGAATCCTGGTGTTCGCTGTGATGCAAACCTTATGTGTGGCCGATTTCATGCGCGATTACGTATAACAGACTGTGCGTGCGTGGAGGATTTCTACTAATATGAACATGCCCCGATTCCGCTCTATCTACGTGCACCTCCGTGACGTAATCTTCATCTCCGTTGGGAAAGGATGCGTGAGCGAGTACACCACCGAAGCAGTCTAAATGACTCGGGCACATATCAGTAATTTTCTTGTCGATATTCATGTGAAGACCCTCGCGATACGATAACAGTATAT